GCGCTCTGCTGCCCGGTGCTCAGCTCCGCGTACGCGCTGGTAAGTTGCTCGCCGTGCGCCGGCCGCAACTCGAGACGGTCCTGGCGAGGCTCGGGGTCCCCTGGGAGGGACTGCGGAGCGGAGGCTCGCGTCCCCCGCACCTGAGTTCTGCTCTGCTGCCCGGTGCTCAGCTCCGCGTACGCGCTGGTAAGTTGCTCGCCGTGCGCCGGCCGCAACTCGAGACGGTCCTGGCGAGGCTCGGGGTCCCCTGGGAGGGACTGCGGAGCGGAGTCTCGCGTCCCTCCAGCATCTGAGCTTTTGGATAGTGTCTCCCTTGGACCCGGGATCATCGGCTCCTGCTGCTCTCTTCCGAGTTTGACTGTAGGTGCCGGATGCCTGGAGACACCCCGGTTCTGAAACTTGGGTTTGGGGTCCCAGAACTGTAAATCTGTGGCTGGAGTTTTCCTACTGAGTACACACGCGTTTTGGGGTGTCCCCTTTGGAGGTGACAGTGTGATCCAGCGGAAAGCTGTGTGATCCAGGCTTTCGCTCTGGCTGTGGACTCTCGGAGACTGGAATTGGGGGGCCTCTGCTTTCTGCAAGTTTTGTTGGAAATTTAACCCACAAAGCAGGGGGCCAAAGGTTAGGGTCCCCCAGGCAGGGTTTAGAACCCCCTCCTGCTCTCCCGACCACACACACGGTGCACCCGTGGCCTGCTTCACCCAGGACCCACAGGGAGGTGGGTGTGGTAGGGCATGGAGGGCCCAGCGCACCGCTGCAGGAGACAGTGCTGGAAAGGCTTCCCCGGAGGCGAAGAGAGCCCTGGGGAAAAGTAGAAACCCCAGACCGAGACCGTGGCAGAGAAAGCTAGACAGTGGAGACAAAGGGGCGGGGTGAGAGCCCCAGAGCTGCAGACGCTAATGGGGAGCGATTGCAGAGAGGGCGGGAGGCACAGGCACAAGGTCTCCTCCTGGGCCTGGGCCGAGCCTGGGGACGCTCCTTGGGGAGCACAGCCCCGTCCTGCCCCCAATCCCTAGCCCCGCCCAGGTGCGACACTTGCCCCGCAGAGAGGGCGCTGAGCAGCAGCAGGTCCCAGCACTCTCAGAACCCCAGCTAGGAGGCCGGAGCCTGTTCTGCCCAGGGCTGTGACCTGGAGCCGTCCTTCTGCACACCTCAGCTGTCCCACCTGTAAAAGAGGGTGTCAGAAGCGTTTTCTAACCTCCCCAGTCAGACTCCTCCCCTCCGGCGCCGTGTACCAGTGTGCCCAGTTCTCACAGTGCGGGCTGAGGCAGGACCCCAGAGCCTAAGGTTTCCCCCCAGTGGGGCTACAGAGGGGCCAAGCCGTCCAAGAGCTGAGCTCTTCGTGTGCACCACGTGTGCAAGGTGTGTGCAAGGGTGATGGGGTCTCCCGAGTGCGCCTTGCCCTGGATGGAGCAGGGTTTGGTGGGCGTGGAGTTGGTCGGACTCCGGGCTCCGGGGTTGCGTGTCTGAGCCCACAGTGAGTTCGTGTGGGCTGTGGGTCTGAACGTGCGTTGTGATGCACGGTTGGGCACGCATGTGCGCGTGTGCTGTGAGCA